CATTCTTGACGGAGCAAGAAGTTTCCGAATAAATGCCGGGGGGGGGGGGCGGGAAGTTCACGATACAGATCCCTTCCTCGTTCCTGTCTGCCCCCTGAGTTCGTACATGCTGACCTTGAAGATGTACTCGAAGCTGTTCTCGGGCACATAGACTCTCAGATTGGGCTTCTGATGCAGGTCCCATAGTCCGTTCAGACGAGGCTTTTCCGGTTTAAAGAGCATTGCACCCTGGAAGGAGTCATTTCCCCGGTGAGGCAGCCGTCGCTTCGTTCTCCCCGCAGCTACCGCATGTATCCGCGCCTGTAGGCTTCGGTCACCGGAGAATTATCCGGAGTTCGGGAAATTGAGTCTTTCAATTTAGGAGAATTGACCAGAAGCCGCGTTCCCGAGGGACACGGAATCGCACTCGCCCCCAAAGCCTGGGTTCCAGTCGAAAATATTAAAATGGAGTATCAAGCGCCGTCGAGTGATCCAAACCTTCAATTGGCCAGCGTAAGCATTCATCAGGATGATGCTTATTCCGAATATCCAGGTTATCCAGAACATCCGGATAGTGTTCCATTTCGGAGGTTCCCCGCTGCCTTTACATTTGAAAAAGCAATCATATACATCTCTGGACTTGACCTTCGTCCGTAGATTGGCTTTCGTAAATATTCTTATACCTTCAGCGGATCGGTCCCTCCGATTATTCTGCTGCGCTTACATTCGTTCCAAGTATTGCCGAACAGAAGGAAAATGTATCGAAGGCAAACTTCCACAAAAGTCGAAGCTCTGGTGAGCACCAGCTGGGAGGCAGTCAGCAGCAGGGAGACGAATAAAATTCCAATCGCAAGAGCCGCCCACACCTGGCGAAAAACACCATCGTAAATGAGCCGCTTCTTAATTCGTCCATTTTCCCATTTTTATCTTATTCATATTGTGCGGAAGGTCGGTGCTCGCTCTCACGTCGTAATGCAGTTGCTTGAGTACAGCAAAAGGATCTTTGCTGAAACGGGTTAGTCTTCCTGCCAAGATGATTATCTCGATCGGGTTGATCATCGGCGAAAGGGGTGCGACCGCGAGCTTATCTGCTGTCGGATTCGTACAGCAAAGCGCAACATCTGCTTCCTGGGGACGAGTGGAGAGATTAGGGGCGGGGCTCTCATCTGTCGCAAATTTCCGTGGTCATTGGAAGGGCTTATCTAAGAGCTCGAGCCTGATATAAAACATTACGTCTCGATCGAGAAGACCGATGGCGCCATTCCACGTATTGTTGACTTTGATGCCCCAGGCTGCTGCGTTCGAAACGCTGTAACTGGCAAAAATAATCTCCCGTAGATTAGACACTGCATCCAAATCCCTCGGATCGGAGTCGGACCATACAGATACCTGAAGCCCAAGGATTTGGAAAGCACTCGAAGAATTTTGCCATACATGCCACCGACAGCCACGTTTCGACCTTCCTCATGTAGCACATGGTAGGGCGGATACTGAAAGGCGAAAGTAGCTAGTATGCGGGAGCTATCCTGGCTACCCACGGAAAGCAAGCCCCGAAGCTCGAATCCGATCCCCGAGAGTCGATATATTGCCAAGTTGAGTGAACGAGGTCGTCTCTTTCCCTGCCCAATGTCTTATTTCAATTCACTAGGTCTAGGACGCCGGAGGAGACGGATCAGTCGCCCAGAAATATGAACGACTTCTGAGGTTCTTACCGTAAAAGTCGCGATTCGGAGGAAAGATGCGTTCATTTTCCTTATCCGTTCTGATTTACTTCACCGAGCAGTCGATGGCAGCACGAGTGAACTACCGCGCTGGTTCTGAGACAGCTCCCAAAATGGGTCCCGCCTCAGGCTCTCCCGCGTCGGCGACTTCGATAGTCTCGGGGCGGGAGCTCGTCGAGGGCGATGGAACAGGACTTTATGGAGATTCAAAAGCATCTAACGATATAGGAACCGTCAAATCGCTCCGTAGCGCTTCTCTCAATGAATCATTTCGATGGTGGTCCTAGAATGTGGATAGCTTTCGGAGAAGAACTGTACATCTGAATTTAAGCCTCACAAGAAAAATGATCACCGCTAGGGGTTTATTCCGATCGATCATGGCCTCGGCGATTCTGTCGGCGGGGAAGATTTAATCGGAAGGCCAAATCGTTCTCGCTGTAGCCGCTCCGAAACTTTGTTTTACATGGCACCATTTTATTGTCCTAGCTCGGGATTCAGCTGAGATTCCTTCTGTCCTCGATGGCACGCCTGTCTGTTTTCTGTCGTGTACTCGCGTGACCTCCCGGAAATGCTCCTCGAGCCTCTGAGGTGCTTATGGGGGATTTCCCTCTCCGTACGACGGGGTTCCCGCGGAAAATAGGTGAATTCTCCGTTAAACGAGAACACGAAACTATAAGTCACTGTAAGAAGTCCATGACCGCTCGGGGGGCTGTTGGGATTTGTCATAGCGAAGGGCGGAGGAAGCTGTAGGGGAATGAGGGCAACAAGAAACATGCGTAACAGGGAATACCGGGAGCGGATTATATTCGGCACGGGAGTTATCGGGAACAGGAAATAAGGTGACTGCAAACATGGGAGTCGGAAGATGTAGGGAAGAGGGAATATGCGCGGGGGGGGGGAATGCGGAATAGGAAATGAGTGGAAGGGGGAATGTGGGGAGCGGGGAACATGAACAGAAGGCATATGGGAAGCTAGGAGAGTCGAGAATCGGAAGAATGGAAAGCTTCGGGACCAGCATGATTTGGGATGGGCGGACGGAAATTTGTAAGGAGAATGCATATCTTGCTCAGGCAACTGCAGCGCTTGACGGGCATGGATGATGACGGCTCTATTCATGTGAGGGTCATCGTCATCGAGGATTGAAATTGATCAAACTCTCTCATCTCTGTATCCCTATGATTTCTCCCATCGGGGCCAGATACGTTCTTCCTTCCGTGCGACCGTCTCAATGACTCTTACCCTGATCATGACATGTCTCCCGGTATAATCTCGATTTCGATAATGAATGACACTATATGATTCCCTCGACGAGTTCCTACTTGTAGGAGTGAGACAGAAGCCACGGCAGGGCTCCATGGGACGTTCGAGGGACATCTTTGATTCAGTCGATCTTTAAGTCTGTTCCGAAGCCCGAAATCGGCGTAAGAAGCAGCTCGACCTCTCAATAGAGCCTGGGCTGAGGTCTCCGGAAGATCCGGTGGCCTCCGTATAGCTCCGTGGAATTCTCGCTGCGGAAACTCTCGACTTGAGCCAGAGAACGGCGGATACAATCATAAGGCCTATGCGTCTGTGGCACGCCTCGGTCCCCGAGAGGCGTCCCGCGAAACCCTTCGGCTGTCCGAGGCATTCTCGAGGAATTCCGGGGCCGAAGTCACGGTCCACTTGGACTCCATCTACCACGAATTTCTGGGAAAGTTCCGTGAACGTCATCCCCGAAAGGATGATGGTCAATGATGCTCATTTCATGACGTCGTAGCTTAATTCCGGAATCTCCCGGCCGAGACGATCCAACGATAGGAGCTTTGTCTTCGACGATGGGCGAGGACACGGGCCAAAACGAGATGCATGTGTAAGCGGGACCGTCTCATTGCCGCGGGCGGACGTGGTCTCAATCGGGCTTCATATCGATCCGATTCCAATACTCTCGATCGCGTATCGTTTATTCTTTTCGAAGCAGAATGTACGCTGAGGCCCGGTATCAGCGGACCCGTCCGCTTTCGGATTTGTGTAGGTAAATATTTTCCGAATGAAGATTGCAATGTTCCATCTCCACAGAAAGCAGTATTGGGCGCAGCCCTCCGAGCGATTTCGTCGATGTCGGTCTCGGATTCGTCAAAAATGAATTTGTGTTGTATAGAAAGAGGCCACGGGAGAGTGAAGATCGCCTTGCTTGGGGGAATGTCCGAGATTATTCATTCGAAGAATAAAATTTGTTGTTTATGGCACTAAGGATGACTACGAAGCGTTCGCGTTAGCGAAAGGCTCACGAATGACCGTTTATTTCGAGCGGCTTGAATATTAAAGCTACCTTTCCGTTGTAATCATTGAACAATCACTCAACGATCCTCAGCCGCCTCCTCGGCTTTCCGCACACAATCCTCAAGCTCATCCAGCGAAACTTGGAGGCCAAAGACCGACTCCAACTCGTCGACGATCTCTTGGGAGGCGCGGTAGAACTCTGCTTTCTGCGTGCGCCTCTCTGGAAAGCAATGCAAGAGATCATCGTTGGATATCCGGAACCGCTTCACTCGATGCACTCTGCTCAGAGAGCCTGGCGGTTTGTTCGATCACCCGCTTGTCGGGATCGCTCCTGCAGGCCGCTCATCACCGGGGTCGATTGATTATTCGAATTCAGGCCCGGAGGATTGAAAGGACTGAGCGGTCCACACGCGGTCAAAATTAGCGGAGTCTGCTTCGATTCCATAAAAGCCTCGGGAAAGACGTGTTGTTCTTTTGGACAACGCAATCATCAGTCTGACTCGATTGGAGTCACCGCTCGCTGATGACGTTGATGGAAAAACTCTCACCGCCATTTCTGCAATCGTATACGACAATGTAATCTGGTTCAGATGTGCTGTTAGCGGCCGCGGTGTAGATGTAATTCCCATTGAACACTGGAAGAAAAATCTAGAATCAAAGAAACCATCAAGGGTTCGGGCGCCTAATGGATGAGAGATTTCCGCTTCGACCTTAGAGAGATGATTGTCCTTCAGAATTATCGAGAATCCAACTCACTCCCTCCTGGTGAGTTTTTCACTCGGTAGCAGTAAGGGTCTGTCGGACACTCATCGATGAGCTTCAGATCGAATTCACCAATCTCTCCGACCTCGAAAATAATCTCTTCGGGTAGAACAGTGCCGACGGCAGTCGTATACTGGACTTCTTCTGTAAAGGCGAGGACGCAGGTCGTGCGGTTCCCTTTCTGGAAAAAAAAACAAGCGTTGCCAAATCGCGAAATTTCGCTCTGCAAGATCAGCTCTTCTGACGGAAGAACGCGAGGATCCCTCAGATTTGGAATCTGTCCATTCCGCATGACGAATTTTTCAATCGCTCTCGGGATCGATTCTACCATTTCGATGAGTTCTGGTCGCGAGGATTCTTGGTTCATGTTCGCGCAAAGTCTCGATCCGTAATTCTCTGCTTGATTTGCGTTTGCGTCATCATCATCAGCAATCGAGGTCGAAATTAGGATCGCCGTAACTGTAGATTGAAGGAAATGTATCAATCGGAGTGCACTCCAATCAGGAACAAGAAAATATCGACGCTTACGACCGGCGGACTTTCGACTCACCGACGGCGAAAGAAGCGAATGACTTCATGCTCGTACTGTCCGCTGTTCAGCCTCGGGAAGAGATTCTGTTGCGGATAAAGAATGTAGGGACGATCTAGTCACGGAATGAATTATTGTGAACAGCTCGCTTGCTGGAATACTCGCTTAACGGGAGACTTACCGTCCAATTCGAAAGTTCCTTTCAGAATGAGTTCAGAGACCCGCAGGCTGAGTTTTTACTAGCTGGCGTTCCAGCTGGCAGCGCTGATGAGACGATTCTGTCGGTCATTTGGGCGTGGCGACGCCCTCGAACCTACATGTTCGGTCGATGTTCTTCTCGTGGCGTTACGATATGGTATGCCGCGAAACGTCGACGGAGAAGGTGATTCGCAACAGCGATCTCGGAGGCAGCTGGCCGCGTAAGGATGCGCTGCGCGGAACATATCCTTCAGCCCCGATTTCTCCGCCAGATCACGAGTGACAAGAGGACGCCCGTAAGTAAGGGAATGTTAAACAAGAGCCCTCATGCGAACCTCTACAGGACATTGCCTTCCGCAGCGCCGGAGAACCCGTCCCGCTGCGAATCGCCGTGGCATCGGCGAAAACTTCGCTCGCCCGTCCACGGAGCAGCGAATCGGGGGCGAGAGGGGACGAGTTCGGCTGTGATGATTGACAACGTGTGTAAAAATCAATAGCTGATCAATACTTCATCAGTTTCTACTCCCATCCATAGGTCTCAATCACACGAGTTTGTATCATAGATTGTCATCAGCTCTGGACGGGCGTCTGCGCGATCGCGGGTCTGCACATTCTCTGCGCGCTCATTCTCATGATGAGGGCTCCCAGGTATTCCTTATTCCTTGTCAGTGTGAGGTCGTGAACGGTGAGGCGACTCGGGGGCAATTTGTCCTAGATATCATTGGTGGGACATCATCTCCTGGATGAGGCCTAATCAGCGCGTATTTGATCCTCTTCTACAATTTCGATGTACTGTTCGAACATTGTTGAGCCGAACCATAATTCATGTTCTTCTGTCGGTATGTGGTTGGCTCGAATCACAAGGGCGTCATCGTCGCTCGACTCCCGCTCTAGCGCAGTCGGATACAATCGGAACAACTGGTCAACGAGGATCGAACACTTGTACTCTGCAAGTTCGCAATGATATCTAGATGGATTCTTAGATTATAATCCGTACCGTTCAGCCTTCTCCGCTCGGCCTCGAATATATACACAGTAGAATCTATGACAGTTTTCTGGGACCGTCCTGACAGAGCAAGTTACATCCGAGGTCCGTTCCATCCGAACCAGGGCTCGAAGCAAGAATGGAACGCGAGAGTTGTCGGAGACGTCGCAGCAGCCTCTGTTCCGACAAACGACGCAACGCGCATACGGGCGAGGACCCTTTCGAAGCTTCCGACAGATTACCGCCTTCGACTCCCCGACGCGCCACAAACGGTCCATCATAACCGATACGATCAGTATGGGAGGACACGGTACCGGGGCTTGGGGCCGAGACCTCAATCTCTTATATCAGAGAGTCTATCGACGGCTGTTCCGAAATT